GCATTCTGAATAGCTCCCGTGCTATTTGCAATGCTGCGTTCTGAATAGCTCCGGTGCTATTTGCAATGCTGCGTTCTGAATAGCTCCCGTGCTATTTGAAACGCCAGTACTAGAATTAGATCTAGATGTAGTAGCCATCGTTTCTACATGATAATATTGTAGTTCTGCCTGAATTGTGGAAGCTTTCTCAGTTTTTTGATAAACCTCCTAGGATTTGACTCCTTTTTTATGACGTTGTCTTATTCCGGTCAATATTGGGTAGATCTAGATCTAGAAAAATCTAGATCTAGATTAGATCTAACAATTGTTTCTGACATTGTTTGCCCAAAACTAGTAGACGTCTTGTTCATCTCTCATAATCATTATCATCTGAGTTAGAGTTTGAGCAAGTTTAAGTCGAAAGACGGTGCAACTCGAACTTTGAGTTAGGCCTAGAGAACGTATACAAGCTGTCTACTGTCTACGTTCTCTAAGTCTAATGTTCAGTACTTCCAAGCGTGGCATCGAATCCCGGTCCCGAAAGGGTTTGTTTTTTTCCTTCTCCTGAGCTTAAAATTTAAAAAAAATTAAAATTAGACTCACAGACCAAGGATAGCCACTACTGAACTTTAACCAGGCCCAAATTGGTAAAGGAAAAGTATAGGCTATACTAAGGCCTACTTTGTACAGAGCTCCTCTTGGGGACAAAACCAGAATGTGCATGCTTCATCACTACATAAAAAAAACTACAAAGCAACAAGATATGAATATGGGAACAATTTGTTGGTCAGTCGAGAAGAGGACAACAACAACAACAAAAAAACAAACAAACGTCCAGGACGGGGATCGAACCCACACTAAAAAAATAATGGTTTGACTTCAAGTAAGCGCAGATACGCTGTCACTTCGGCCATCAGAACTTCCGATAACGATGTGCAGATTAAGCTTGATATTTTACACACGGCGACACGGCGTTTTATTTAGCACTAGCGCTAATAGCAACGCGGCGTTTTATTTAGCACTGGCGCTAATCACAACGCGGCGTTGCAAATAGGCACTTCCTACTTGGCTTCTCTCTCTTTTTCTATCCCCCCCTCTCTCTCTTCGTCTCTCTCTGTTTTCTGAGTCTCGTTCTCTCTCTCGTGATAGTATTACATGTTTAGTAAACATCTATATTTTAGCTTTCTGTTCCGGATTCGCAGATATTCAGGGTCACTGCGTTTTACTCTCCCTTAGGGAAGATGGCAGGGGGTAGATTGGGATCATTTTTGGGATTACATTCCGCTTACAACATACAAAAAGCGAAAGGAAAAAGGAAAAAGGTCACGGTCATGAAGGGAGCGGGCAGTTACCGTGCACCTAGCTCGAGCCCCCCCCCCGAAACAAAATACCCGGTTCCGTGTTCATAGATAATGAGAGGCGCCCGGTTGCCGGTTACCGTGTACGTAGATATTGAGGCTACGCGCCCGGTTACCGTGTATGTGACATTGAGACGACACGCCCGGTTGCCGGTTACCGTGTATGTAGACACTGAGGCTAAGTGCCCAGTTGCCATGTACATAGACGCTGAGGCTACGTGCCCGTTACCGTGTACGTAGAAACTGAGGCTTCGTGCCCGGGTACCGTGTACGTAGACACTGAGGCTACGTGCCCGGTTCCGTGTACGTAGACACTCCGTACTTTTAATCTCCTTGGGCTCGAGTGGCTTGCTATCTATTCCAATCCATAGGATAGACTTCCTGTACTGTTAGCAGATACGAAAGAAAATATAGCACTGAGAGATGAATTTTAGTCATTTCAGTGGGGGGTTGTCCCCTTCGATACGTAAATATAAGAAGAAAAGCGCTCCCCTGACTTCAGTATATGTCTCATATTTTCACTTCTATTATATTAGGTACACATACATAACTTTCAGCATTTCTTCGCATTACTTGAGGCAACCTACCTGGGAAGTTTGAATGATGCTGTTGTTATTTTTCAGATATGACCTTTCAAAGCTGGAAAATTGTTTTCATATGACTCCTTCGATATTGCATAATCACTTTTAGAACCCCAAAGTAATATAATTGGAATAAATCTTCAATATTGTATCGCCATCTGATAAATTATTTTTTAACCTTCAGTTTGATGGGCCATGGTTTGTCAGTGTTTAGTTGGATGTTTTGACATTTTCTTTTGGTGGGGTAGGGGCATAAAAATAGGTCAGAGAAAAGCCCTTGGCCAGTGGTGGATTTTGGCCTGGTAGGAAAAGAGTTAAGCTTGACAAAGGGATATTTTCACTACAACCTGCACAGCTTGCATAAGACAAGCCGACAAAACCGGATATTTGGTGAAACTGCCCCTCACGCTGAACAAAGAGAGCGATGGACAGCGTTTTCACACCCAACTTTCCACAGACACACAGGTCTCGGTCTATGGCTGGTCTGTGAAATGTTTGGGGGTGTGGGGGGGGGGGGGGGGGGGGGACTGAACTGTTTTTTGATTAGGCACTAGAAATGCGTCTTTGAGAGGTTTCTGGCTGGTGTTTGGGTGACCGCATATAATGTTTAGTTAGGCCTAGGCCTGATGCGCAACACGCGTGATCGTGAATGCCGTTAAAACTAGACTAGCCTCTATAGGATTTGACATTAGCCAAGTAAGCCTAATCAGCTGTGCTCGAAGAACTTATATTCTTTTAACATACTTGTTCAATGAATCACAAGAGAAATGTTTCTCTGAATGTAGAGATCTATGATTCTGATGTTATCCATGAATTTAAGGTCGGAGTGGTCGCTTGGAAAGCCACGTGACTGAGCCATCGTCTCTATGACTATCTCCAACAGTTTCCTCATAGGCTATCTGTTCACGACGTTTTATAATAGTGCATATATTCATTACATTGAATCTGTCTTTCACCCCCCCCCCCCCCCCCTTCAACGCCTTTGTATTCCAAACCGCAGTCTGGAAATCCTTCTCAAAACAGTCGAGGGAGGTCACTAGAATATCAAAGCAATGAAATGACTGCGTCCCTTCCTTCCTTTGCAAAGGTTCATGTAAACGCACGCTCCGTATAAACACACGCTAAGGAGCCCTCCCGAGCACCGTGCGTTTTAGGCGGAGACCACTGTAAAAGTAGGCTTTGGCCGCCACCCGCGCAAAATTCTGAATTTCTTACCGACTAAAAATGTTTAATGTAGCCCACACGCCCACATGACCTTATATATATGCAGCTGAGAGCGCCGTAAAACACTTACCAAAAAAAAACAACCAAAAAAAGCAATGGGCTAGGCATATTTTCTCTCTCTCATATGCAATAGGCGAGGCTTGGCCCTTTTTGATTTCTTTTTTTTTTTTTTACGTGGGCACCGTGGCGTATTATATCTAGATTACTAGATAGCAATAATACAGCATACTTTCTACAACTTTATCTGCATATAAATGTATCAGTATTATTAACTCTTTATACTTAACCTCTGGCAAGCCGCTCCCAACGGGCTCGCAGTCGGAACCACAGTGCCGGTGAGCCACTGACAGCGGCTCGTGCTCATTCCTTTACGACGACTTTGACATAAAATTACTTTTCGGCAATTGCCCAAAACAGGTTTCTTATACCGAAAGTTCATTCATTAGATGAAGAACTATCAAAATATGTTTGTTAGTTTCAATTTAATTACCCATTTAGTGACATTTTGTCATTTTTAGATGTAGAACAAAAAGGGCCCCGGCGTAGTGGGTTTACCCCCCCCCCCCCCCCCCGCGGAGAGATAAAGAGTTAAATAGATAGAGATAGATAAGCTTTATAACAAAAAATAACAACAAAACAACTTTCTTTCTTCATCAGCATTTTATCTTCGGGGTGGTTTATTTCTCTTTGACTGAATCAAAAGCGTATAGGGCCTATAGAACTTTTAAAAAGAAGTATGAAAAGACCTTGGTGTCATGGGAACCTCCTGACCACCCCACCCTCTCTTTCCTCCCAAATCCCAATTCCAACACCTCCCCCCCCCCCCCAACCCCAACCCCCAATATATGTGTTTGGCATTAAGTTAAATCAAGAATAGCCATAAAAAATAATTCCATAATGTTCACACTCACAGAGTAAACAAGTCATGGGATGAGGATTGGCCCTTCATTTCAGTCGTAGCGCTAGGGGTTAGGTAAGGTTCAGCCATTCATTTCGTCTTAAACTTAGGTTTAGGGGATAGGGTTAGGTTTAGCCGACAGGAAACCATTAGCTCCTAAACAAAAACGAAATTAATAGCATTTTAGCCCAGGTTTTGCAAGGTATTTGTAACTGCTCTTTTCTCCATTAGAAAATGCTGTTCATATCAGAGACAATATTATTCTATTTTCATTTGATATTCAATAGATGTCCATTACTCCGATGTTGATACACTTCTATATATGTGCATGGACACACTAAGTTTCTCTGATTTCACAGTGTTTCCAAGCCAGATTTTTTCAGGTCAATTTTGAGTGACAATATCTCGGGCGTCTCTTAACATAGATGAAATGTTAATGTGTAAGATAATGCAAAATTTATTTAGCTTTAAATTGGTATGCTGCATAAGCAGGTAGAACAAGTCTATAACACGATGATTGGGTGATTACATTTTCAAGTTTCTTTTTGACGCCACTATATTATTACTATGGATGCATACAAGCTTGGAGTGCTTCTGTTGCATTTGCAATATTCAAGAGAAGCCATCTTATGACTTGAGACTTTTTAACTAACTGTGCACTGACATGATGAATATACTAATGATATTTTACTTTATATATGCTTACCCAATATTTTCATTTTAGATGTGAACTTCTTAATGATTATTTGTGAAATAGACCCACACGCCTAAACGGTCAAGTTCTTTTTTTAAATTTTTTTTTTTTTATTATAGTAGAGGGTTTTACGGCGCTCGCAACTGCATAAGGTTATATGAGCGCCAATGGTTCTTTATTTTATTTTAATAGAAGAGAAAATATAATGAGACGGACAGCTAGATTTAGCTTGCTCAGCATGTGAATTTTTCATTGCCTCTGATCAGGGACTCATGAGAACCCAGAGCTGATCTGGAATGATGATGCCAGAGAGAAAGTCTGTGGATCTGTCAAGAAGCTGAGAGCCAAGTAAGACTTGATTTTGTAGGGTTTTTTTCTTTTAATCAAACTTTTTTTCAGAGGACGACATGTTGATAGACAGCTACATAAGGCCATTCCTCAGCTCTCCGAAATGTCAGAACTTGATACAACACCAACAGAAGAAGAACTCTTCTCAGCAATCGATGAACTCGCTTGCAGAAAAACAGCAGGAAATGACAACATACCTGCTGAAGTGCTGAAAGAGAACAAAGAGACCCCCCTCCCATATCTCTACAAGCTACTAACAACTTGTTGGCTGAAAGCAGAAATTCCACATGACATGAGAGATGTCAAAATCACCACACTCTACAAGAACAAAGGCGGCAAAGGAGATTGCAACAACTACAGAGGTGTCTCACTGCTAAACATCACTGGAAAAACTTTCGCTAGGATCATCCTGAAGCGACTTCAGAAACGAGCAGAAAGAGTCCTACCAGAGAGCCAATGCGATTTCAGATCAAACAGCTCAACAATGGACATGATCTTTTCTATTCATCAGCTACAAGAAAAATACAGGGAGCAACAACTGCCATTACATACTGCGTTTGTCGATCCGACAAAGGCTTTTGATACAGTCAGTAGATCAGGTTCTTTGAAAAATTGGCTGTCCCCGAATACTGCTACAGCTCATCATCTCGTTCCACAAAGATATGAAGACCACCATTCAGTTTGACGGTTCAACATCAAACAGTTTCAACATCAATAGCGGAGTAAAGCAAGGTTGTGTCTTAGCACCAACCCTTTTTAGCACTTATTTTGCTGTCTTACTGCAACATGCATTTAAAGAGTCACCAGGGGATGTCTTCCTCCATTGGAGAACTGATGGGTTGCTCTTCAAACTTGCTCGACTCAAGGCCAAGACCAAGATCAACAAAACAACAGTACGAAACCTCGATGATGATGCTCTTGTTGCTCACAGTGAATCAACCCTACAAACAATGATGGACCGCCTATCAACAGCATGCAAGGTCTTTAGCTTGGTCTTCAGTGTTAAGAAAACAGTCATCCTTACCCAAGAAGGTGCAGAGCAGAGCCATATATGGCTGAACGACAAGGAACCTGAGACAGTGGACAAGTTCTGTTACCTGGGGTCTACCATCAGCTCTACTACATCATTTGATTATGAGATCAGCACCAGGATAAGGAAAGCAGCAACAACTTTTGGAAGGCTGACAAAACGAGCATGGGAAAACAAAAGATTAACCATCGAAACAGAGGTCAAGATTTACGAAGCATGTGTCCTCACCGCACTCCTTTATGGATCTGAAACATGGACCTTGTACAGCGGACAAGAAAAGCGCCTCAACATTTTCCATCTCAGATGCTGCCGCAAGATCTTAGGCATTTCGGGGCGCGACAAGGTTACAAATGTTGAAGTGTTGGCACGTGCAGACCTCCAGAGCATGACAACTATTCAACTATCCAGTGTTTAAAAAGATTGAGATGGCAGTGCCATATCAAGAGAATAGACGACAACTGGATTTTGAAGCAACTTTTCTTTGGAGAACTTGCCCAGGGAAAAAGACCAAGAGGAAGACCAAAACTGAGGTACAAAGACACCTGCGAAAACAGCTTATCTAAGCTTGGAGTAGATTTTAGCATTTGGGAAGACATAGCAGAGGACAGGAAAACATGGAAGAAAATGATAAAGGAAAGAACTATAATGCTAGAGAGCAGCCTTAGAAACAACCAAGCTGAGAAGCACCGACGTCGAAAGGAAAACAGCGGAAATACAGAGCTTCGATCTACGACACTGACATGCTAGCACTGCGACAGAATCTGCGCTTCAAACATAGGAAGAATTAGCAATGAAATAAGCTGCATAAAGACAGCCTTGAGACCATCTTAAGCTAAATTGACCGTCTGCATAGATGAAAAGAGACATATATTGTGATTTTTAATCCACTAATCCAATTGCCTTAGGTTTATTTCATACTCCTGTACCATCATTTCTACAAGAATTTGCACCTTGATTTTTTCCATAATCTGTGCTCTCATTGCTAATGACTGACTACTGCCATTTTTTAAATACTTTTTTACTCTTTAATACATATCATTTATCCTGGTGGTTCTTGTGTACTAAGAAGTGAATATTATGTGTTCGACATAAGAATATTTGTTAGTTTTCAACTGCCGTATTTAATGTTGATGGCTGTTATGATCTTATGGTGAAAAATTAACTTTTTCTTCAAATTGTTCTTTTTTTAGTTTCCCATTGCTTCCAGTGGTAGTAGATGCAACATTTGTGTTGCTTAGTAAATTATACTTATTTCTATCCTATTTCCTATCATTTAGATGAAGAATTTGGTCTGTGATTGTGACTGTTAGGCCTTGAATTGCTATTTGTTTCTGATGTATTCTGGATTTTCTAGTTATGAAATTGACTGTCGGTGTTTGGTTTTCATCGGGTTTTTCTCAATCTCTTTGAGCGATATATGTATCGTCATTGTTCTACTTTCTTCCTTTGCTGAATATTTAATTTGGCTTCCTTTTTTCATTGACTTTATTGTAACTATCTTATAATGTGTCTTCAAGACTGCTTATGTTCTTGACTTTAATAGTCAGTGTTCATTTTTCTACTAATTACATTAACTTACCAATGAGTCCTATTCTGTTGTCTACTCATTACTTTGAATTACAGGTCAACTTTAAGGTTTCTTTTTGTTTCCATGAAAGACTTCTAAGAGCTTCTTATTTGTACTGTATTGTCTACTGCACTGTGAACATGGTTGGGTTGATTTAAATCAGGTCGATTTAAATCAATTGATTTTTAACAATTCAAATCGACTTGATTTTTAAAATAAAAATCAGTGATTTAAATCAATTTTTTTTTTAAATATTTTTATTCGGTTTTTACATATTTAAGCATTCAGAATGCCTTTCCTTGGTTTTATAAAACAAGTATACGGTTTAGTAGACTAATATAATCCAGCTTAAAAGTCGTTTTTCTACCCTGTCACTGTAAAATAGTAGCCTACAGTATTCAACTTAATTTTTTTTCATAATTGAAATTAGCATTTCCTTTTTTTTTAAAGACACACACAAGCACACACACACGCACACACACACAAACGCGCACACACACAAACGCACACACACACACACACACACACACACACACATAAAGGAAATGTTTAGATTTATTAACTGTAAACTTAATAATCATTTATTGAATGTCAGATCTAATCAATTGTGACTGATGAGAATAAAAACGTTAACAAATAAATCACAAACAATGTAACAAAAATAATAATTCAGATATTATAAATTGCAAGGAACAAAATGGCAACTGAAGGAATTTTGAAAGTAAATCACCTTCATACAATATTAACAGTATTACAATAACCTACAATTTAGACCATGTTGAAATTACCCATTGAACTGTTTTGGGTTGAAGGTTTTGAAAAGAAATACAATAATACTGTATTCATTGTACTTTTTTTCGTAATTGAAATTTGCATTTTTTTTTTTTCTTTATTAGACAAACACAAGTGCGCGCACACACACACACACTATAATAAAATGCAAGTTTATCTGTGCATAATTACACCCTTTCTTTTAGACTGACATTTTCTTCATTTTTTGTCTGTAGCCATGAATAATTCACTGATATAGCAGATTAAGGCTTTTTTTTACAGTTGCTTAAATTAATCATTAGTTAAAATAAATAAAGACAGTGCATTTTGCACTATAAGAACATACTTTTAGCCACTAAAAATTCCAAACTGTGTCGACATTTTTTTATTTTTAAAAAAATCTGATAAAAAAGAATTTTTAATCTGATTTATATCAAAAAGATTGATTTTTTCAATTTTTTGTTTTAAAAAATATATAAAATCACCTACCCTGTGTGTGAACCTCAAATTGTTCTCTTCTGCAAATTGACAAAGTCTAGAAAAGAGTCCTGGAGTGAATTATTCATGTGACAACCATTTATTGCTGGGAAAAAGACAGACAGACAGACAAACAGTAAAGAAGTAAGACCTGCCAGCAGCACCCTCAACCACTCTTTATCATTGGTAGTGGTTATCAGATTTCTTCTGGCAGATGTAACAAATTGATAACTTCAATGTTCTTGATGGGCAGGCACTTCCAGGCACAGAGAGAGGATGCAAACGTCAAGTGGAGCATGAAAGAAGACTTTGAGATCGTCTACTCAGACGTCCAGGGTGAGGTAGTTGTGGGCGGTGTATTCCTGCGCCTCTTCATTTCAAACCCGGCATGGGTGCTACGTCGGCCAAAAGAGTTCCTCACTGAGTTATTGGAGAAATGGACTCAGATCACAGGATCGTCTACACCAGATGCAAGTTGTCTCTCTCTTTATCTTAAGTTGTTTTTTTGTTGTTGTTTTTTGCTTTGTTCTGTTTTGTATTGTTGTTTTGTTTTGTTTTGGGGATTTTTTTTTTGAGGGGGGAAGGTCAAACCTTCTAGGGATAAAATGGTCTGTTTTGGTATTTCCTGGTGCAATAGGGATAGCAACTTAACTTAACATATAAGGTGTCTCCCTGGGAAGCATTCTCTCTCCTCTCCCATTTGAAATCAAAATAGATTCCATCATTAAGACCCTCATAAATAGCATGGACAGCTCATTATACGTTGACGACTTCTTGATATGCTGCCCTTCGAAAAACCTTCAACTAAGATCTATAGAAAGCACGCAGCTGCACACTTTTGAAAAGTGGGCAAATAATAATGGTTTCAAGTTTTCCACATCAAAGACGGTTGCAATGCACTTCTGCAGATCAGGCAGACGTGTATGCAGCCGGAATTTGACACTATACAGAGAAAGGATTCTTGTCCAGGACCAGTCTCATTTCCTCGGCGTTATATTCGACAAAAAACTCACATTCATACCACACATCAAAGACCTTAAGGTGAGGTGCCAGAAAGCGTTAAACGCTTTGAAAATTCTTTCGCATCCGGAGTGGGGCGGGGATTCAAAACACCTTCTCCCATTGTTCGATCCAGACTTGACTACAGCTGTCAAGTCTATGGATCAGGAAAATCACACATCCTAAAAATGCTAGACCCAGTGCAAAACCTAGGACTCCGCCTCGCTCTTGGGGCTTTCCGCATATCTCCGGTGGAGAACGTCCAGGCCGAGGCAAACATCCCATCTCTCGCACTCAGACACACACTACTCTCACTACAATACGCAGTTAAACAGAGCTCAACACCGGAGAACCCAGCACACAACTGCATTTTCAAAACAAACCCAGACACCCTAAACAAATTAAAAAACAATGGAAAATTCATCAAACCCTTCGGCCTCAGAGTCCTTTTCCAAACAAGACATCCAGCAATTTCATTTCCCCGTCCTCCCTCAGTGGCACCTCACCTAGACAAAAGTAGACTTACAGCTGACCACCCACAACAAAAGCAAGCACAAACGCCAAAACAGAATACAAATAACTTATAGATAGAAAAATACCCCGGTGCGGAGCTAATCTTCACAGATGGCTCCAAATCGGACTCTGCTGTGGGCGCCGCTGCCCTATCTTCAATTAGTTCACACCAGAGGAGACTCCATCCCGAAGCCTCCATTTTTTCTGTGGAGGCCACTGCCATTGACATGGCACTGGACTCCATACAAAATTCTCCTAACAAATCTTTCCTTGTCCTTTCTGACTCTCTGTCTTGCATCACCTCACTTACAAACTACACACTCCTACACCCAAAAATAGGTTACAACAGAGGATTCACGCCTTGACTGAAACTGGGAAAAGTATCGTGTTCTCATGGCTACCTAGGGAGGAAACGAGCAGGTAGATTTCCTGTCGAAGGACTCCTTGTCCCTTCTGTTCGGATCAACGACGAACACTCCCACAGACTGACTTTAAAAATAAAGTAAAAAACTACACCTTGTTGAACCATACCCCAGAGGCACCATCATGTGAAAAGAAAAACGCAAACATATCTATGCTCACGTCCATTCCTATGTTTACCCCCAGTGGGTCGGGGGGATATAAATAGACCCACTGCTCCGCCAGCAGGAGGTGCAACCCCTTCACTGGCGATTTGTCGCCCATGGACATCTACGCTCAGGTGCACATGGGCGACACTTGCTTTGGTGTATTGTCTGTCTTCTATCGTCTTTCTTCCTTCTTCTTTCGTCCTTCCCCGAGCTGACCGGGGAATAAAATAAAAATAGTTGGCTGTCCCATCAACAGGGGGTGTAACCCCCCCGCTGGTGGGATGCCACTCGTACGTCACTAGCTCTCTGACGTAGGAGTGGCATCTTTTGTCCGCTCTTGCTATGTCTTCTATCCATCTATCTTTCTTTCCGTTCTGTCGACCAAAGGTCCGGTCCAGCAAAGAATAGACACCAAACCCCCGCAACGCGAGGCACCCCGTTGACCGTGGGGTGCGACCCGTACGACCGGAGAAGGGGACCCTGGTGGCTGAGGTGTGGCTTTCCTCACCAACACGCCACTTTGGCCCTGGATTCGGTCTAGACAGGCGGGTGCAGTGGCCTACTGCACTCAATCGGTTGCGACCGGTTCATAGAACCGGTTTTGGCCAATCTTGGTTAGAAGGCAAGATTTCTTGCCGTCTGATTGGGAGTATACCTCCAGGGTAGCCCTGACACCAGCTATGGACTTCCGAGCGGTGTCCCCTTGTTGGACTCGGTGGCGGGTGGGGAGCCCTGGAGATGAAATAAAAGACAAAATACACATGGATTCAACCAAAAACATTTCTCCCACCCCAATTCCCAACAAGTCCCAGACAGGAGAAGCAGGTGCAACTCCTGGCCTGGGCAAAAGAAAGAAGGGCCTTTCGGGCGAAGATGCTGACAATGTCAGCATCTGGGACATACCCAAGAGAACATCGTTGGGGTGGTCACCATTTTTGGTGATCTCCCCAAAAGATGAAAAACAAGACACAAATCTCACTACATTAAGCGTCTTCAAAATTCACAAATCACTCAAACATTTCGGTATTCACAAGCCAAAATACATAAAAAATCTAGGATCCACGGACCTCCTGATACAAGTCAGTTCCAGCATTGAATCAGGCAAACTGTTGGCCTGCACCTCGTTTGGTGGCATCCCTGTATGTGTTCAGCCTCACAGGAGTCTGAACACATCCAAGGGTGTCATCAAAAGCCAAGAGCTCTACGGCTGTACCGAAGAAGAAATGGTTCAGGAGGTCGATGGAATTGTCCATGCTCGTCATATCAAAATACGGCGGGATGGCAAGGAAATCTGTACCAACACGTGGATCCTTACCTTCAACACACCCACACCACCAACAAAATTAGACATCGCATACTTAGAACTCGAAGTTAGACCATATATACCGAAACCGATGCGCTGTTTCAACTGTCAGCGCTTCGGACACACACAGCTACGCTGTCGTCGTGGCGCAGCGTGTCCTCGCTGCGGCAAGGAGGGACACTCTGGGGAGACCTGCTCTGCAGATCCCTGGTGTCCAAATTGTCGACAGGGGGGTCACTCTGCATCTTCGACGGAGTGTCCGAAGTGGTGTCAGGAGAAAGCCATCCTCACACATAGGGCCCAGTACGGCGGAACGTTCGCTCAAGCAAGAGCAACGCTATACCCAAAAGGATCGACGCCGAAGAATACAACAAAAACATATTCAGAAGTCCTGAAGACTGTCCCAGGGTCAGTAAACCCAACCCGAAAGGTCCTTCAGACAAATAGAAAGCAGAACACCTGCAAAAAACAACACTCCAGTCTGGAGACGGAGGAGGACATGGAGTCCACTTCCTCCACTCCTATCTCTCCCTCTCTCCATACGCCATCTCCCCACACCCCCTCTTCATCACCACCCTCTCAGCCATCTTCTTCATCCTCATCCCCTTCATCATCCTCACCCTCATCATTCTCATCATCACCACCATCATCTTCACCCACAACATCCTCCCCATCATCATCCTCACACAAATCACCACATCCTACACCCTCATTGCTTCAACCTCCATCCCATCATCCTTCATCCAATAAAGCCCCTCCACCCACTCCCCGCACCTGCTCCCCCTCCTCTACCCGCATCCAGGACTCCGGTCCTCCTCCCCCTCCACTCTTTCCCTCAAAAAAGGCTGCGGTCCACCGTGACCGCAGCAAAACATAACACAGACCAAAAAAAAATGTATCGAACCCGTGCCTTCAAAATAAATTAAAATGGCAGTTCTTCAGTGGAACATTCGCGGTTTGCGTGCAAACCAGGCAGAACTCTCTTATCTTTTGACCTCACACACCCCAAATGTAATCTGTCTACAAGAAACTAAATTACCAACACCCACATTCACATTAAAAAACTATCAAACTTACAACCAAATATACACCGACAACCAAATCGCCTCTGGGGGCAACTCCATTTTAATAAATAACCAAACACTGCACAGACAAATACAACTAAACACAACACTTCAAGCAGTTGCGGTCAGGGTCACCCTACACTGTCCTATAATTATCTGTTCAAATATACATCCCCCAAATTATCCTCTATCTTTAAGAGAACTAATAAACCTCAGAGACCAGCTCCCACAACCCTTCATCATGTTGCCCTCTTTGGGGAAATGAACCAACTGATACTAAAGGTAAAATCATAGAAGATTTCTTAATAAAAACCAGTACTAGTATTTTTAACGACAATTCCCCAAAAACCCTGAAGAAATAAATGTTGGCTCACTGAAGACTGCCAAAAAGCTGTTGCGGCCAAAAAATCAGCTCTCAGGAAGTTCGTCAACTCTAAAACTAACGAAGACCTCATTAATTTCAAAATTGCGCGAGCCCAAGCACGCAGAAAAATCAGAACAGCCAAGAAAACATCTTTTCGAAATTATGTCTCAAAAATCAACAACAACACACCAATGCACAAAGTCTGGAAGATGATAAAGAAATTAAAAGGTACTAAAAAAGACACAATCAAACACATCCTTAAACCGAATAACTCCTTCGTAGAAACCGAAAAAACAGTTGCTGACTGTATAGCATCAACTCTCTCCGGAAATTCCTCTACCCACAATTCAAAAAAGTAAAAATGTCTTCTGAAAAGACAACTGTTGATTTTACCTCTTCAAATGAAGAACACTATAATTGCAGCTTTTCTCTTAACGAATTAAAATGTAATATTGCAGAACTATCAAACACAGCTCCAGGCCCTGATCAAATACTCAACGAAATCATCAAACGTCTTCCAGACGAAACACTCCTATTACTCCTTGATATTTACAATGAACTCTGGCATTCTCAACAATTTCCGAACAGTTGGCGTCTTGCCACTGTTATACCAATCCCAAAACCAGGAAAAGTTCACTCTAACCCTTCAAACTACCGTCCCATAGCCCTTACAAACTGTTTCTGTAAACTTATGGAAAAACTTATTAACAAACGTCTAATGTGGTTTCTCGAAACCTCAAACTCCTTATCCAATTTTCAATGCGGTTTTCGCAAAAATCGCTCTACTATTGACCATCTCGTCCGACTTGAAACTTTCATTCGGGAAGCTTTCATTCGAAAAGAGCACCTTGTGGCTATTTTTTTCGACTTAGAAAAAGCATTCGACACCACATGGAAACATGGTATTCTGAAAGACCTGCATGACTTGGGCTTACGCGGAAATCTTCCAGAATTTATACGAAACTTTTTGAAAGATCGATCATTTCAAGTCAAAGTAGGTTCAACATTATCAAATTTACACACCCAAGAAGAAGGCGTCCCCCAGGGAAGCATCTTATCGCCCATTCTTTTCTAAATCAAAATAAATTCCATCACAAAAACCCTTCAAAACAATATTGACTGCTCACTTTATGTTGACGACTTCCTGATTTGCTATAAATCCAAATCCAAAATGGATCACATTGAATGTCAGCTTCAGCTTCAACTCCATAAACTGGAAACTTGGGCAAACGGGCACGGGTTCAAATTTTCCACAGTAAAAACAAACTGTGTGCATTTTTGTCTGTCGCACAAGTGTGTGCGACAACCAGATTTATATTTGTTTGGAGAGAAAATTCCTGTTAAAAAACAAGCTCGTTTCCTGGGCGTAATCTTCGACAATAAACTTTCTTGCCTGCCTTCATTGGCAACTTCCTGAAGAACCGTTCCTTCCAGGTTCGTGTCGGATCCTCCCTTTCAGACCCCCACCAACAGGAGGAAGGAGTCTCCCAGGGGAGCATCGTTTCTCCTCTCTTAGTTGAAATTAAAATAAATTCCATAGTAAAAACCCCCCAAAACAGCATAGACAGCTCGTTATACGTTGACGACTTTTTGATATGCTGCCATTCGAAATATCCTCTTTTGAGATCTATGGAAAGGCAGCTGCAAACGCAGCTGCACAAACTCGAAAAGTGGGCCAACAATAACGGTTTCAAGTTCTCCCCGTCAAAGACGGTTGCAGTACACTTCTGTCGAACAGGCATACGTATGCTGCAGCCAGATTTGACACTATACAGGGAAAGGATTCCCGTCCAGGACCAAGCTCGTTTCCTCGGCATCATTTTCGACAAAAAACTCACATTCATACCACACATCAAAGACCTTCGTGTGAGGTGCCAGAAAGCACTAAACGCTTTGAAAATTCTTTCCCGTCTGGAGTGGGGCGGGGACTCAAAACACCTTCTCCACTTGTACATCTCCCTTGTCCGGTCCAGGCTTGACTACGGCTGTCAAGTCTACGGATTGGCAAAACCACACATCTTAAAACCAAGGACTCGGCCTCGCTCTGGGGGCTTTCCGCATTTCTCCGGTGGAGAGCCTCCAGGCCGAGGCCAACATACAACCACTCTCACTTAGACGCACACAACTCTCACTTCAATACGCAGTTAAACAGAGCTCAACACCGGAAAATCCAGCGCACGACTGCATTTTTAAAACAAACCCAGAAACCATAAACAAATTCCAAAACAACGAAAAACTCATCACAGCCTTCGGCCTCAGAATCCTTGAGGACCTCAAAAACTTACACTTTTCCAAACAAGACATCCAACAAATTCTTTTCCCCAACCTCCCTCCGTGGCACCTCACCAAGATAAAATTAGATTTACAGCTGACCACACACAACAAAGAAAGCACACACACCAAAACTTTTAAAGCAGAATACAAAAAACTAATAGATAAATACCCCGGTGCGGAGCTCATCTTCACAGAAGGCTCCAAAAAAGACAATGAATGGGCGCCGCAGCCGTATCTTTTAACAGTACACACCAGAGGAGACTCCATCCTGAAGCCTCCATTTTCTCTGCGGAGGCCACTGCCATTGACATGGCACTGGACTCCGTAGAAAACTCTCCTAACAAATCTTTCCTTATCCTTTCGGACTCTCTGTCCTGCATCACCTCACTCACAAACTACACACTCCTACATCCAAAAATAGTTAGGCTGCAACAGAAAATTCATATACTATCCGAAACAGGAAAAAACATCATGTTGGCATGGATACCTAGCCATGTGGGCATCCGAGGAAACGAGCAGGTAGACGACCTGGCGAAGAAAGCCTCATCCCTTCTGCTGGGATCAACGACAAACACTCTCCCCCATCTGACTTTAGAAATAAAGTCAAAAAGTACACCTCCAGTCTGTGGGAGAGACACTGGGAAAAGCATAAAAACAATAAACTATATGTTATAAAACCCAAACTAAAACAGCGAAATCCTTCGAACCTCTCCAGAAGAGACGAAGTCATTTTTACTCGATTGCGCACCGGACACACGGCCCTGACCCACAAATACCTCCTACAGGGAGATGAGAAGCTGTTCTGTGTCGGATGCGACACAGATTTTACCATTAGACACATCTTAACCGAATGTCTAGACTTTGGAGAGATCCGAAGGAAATATTGTAAATGCAAGAAATTGCAAGACATTTTTTCCGTCGTTGGTCCCAGCAAAATTTTAATTTTATGAAAGCCATTGGCCTTTATGGCAAATTGTAAAATGAAATTGTACTATTTTAAATTTTTATTGTTACTTATAAGAGTTGTTTTAAATCGCAAATATATTTACACTGAATTTTAATATTTTAGCATTTTAAAGTAATAGTTAACCAATCGTGCAGTGAACTTTTGCGAAAGTAAACAACTTGTGTTTCGCGCGCTCATATGACCTTACGTAGTTGCGAACGCCGTAAAACCCTATACTACTACTACTACAACCCTGACAGGAAATATTCACCTGCCAAACCATAATATTAATACTATGACTGTCAAAGGCAGGGACTTATTAGAACTATGTGGATGTAGATATTCAATATTTTCTTTTGCTGTGTACCAGCCACATACCTGAGCTCATTGTCCAGTGGCTGTTATCTGTGCAGAATGAAATGCTGGAGACTGTGACGATGGCAGTGGTGTGCCTGTTCCAAGCCCACAGTTCCCTGCTTGACCAGGTTCCCTCCCTTGGCTATGTCCCACGTGTCTTCAGCGCCATGACATCCAAGCTCACTGCAGTACCCAAGGCAGGCATACAAGTGGCACACCAGCTTTCATACAACGAGGTCAGTCACCACTGATATAATGGTTAATTTTGATAAAGGAATGTTAATAACTACTGAATGTGATCATTTTTTTAAATAGATTGATTGTGGGGCTTGACCTGGCATCTGGTGTAATCTAAAGTTTCAAGCATGCTGACAGTAAAATCTCCAATTGATATTGATAATGGCATAAAGTGAAATACTCCAGTCTGTGGGAGACTCATTGGAAAAAACAAGAAAACAATAAGCTACTCAACTTAAAGCCCAAACTGGGTCCGCGAAAACCTTCAGGCTTTTCCAGAAGAGACTAAATAATTTTTACTCGATTTCACATCGGATACAAGTCCCTAACTCATAAATTATAAATACCTCCTTCAGGGAGAAGAGAAGCTGTTTTGTGTGGGATTCGACACAGATTTTCCCATTAGACACATTTTAACAGAATGTCTAAACTTCGGAGAGACCCGCAGGAAATATTTTAGATTTTAAAAAATTGCAAGACTTGTTTTCCATCGTCCATCCCAATAGAATCCTTAATTTTATAAAGGGTATTGGCCTTTATGGACAATTGTAAATAACATTGTTTAAAAATTTGTACAGTGGAATCCACTTATAACGAGTCCTGAAATAACGAGAAGTCTGTTATAAACAAACTTTTCTAAAACCCCATTTTTCCCCTTCTTTATCTTTGTGAATAGAATACTAATACGCGGTGATCCAAAAAAAACTTTACAATTTTTTTTCTGAATATCTCGAGCAAAATTTGTTCTAGAATGCTGTAATTTGGAACAGACATAATAATTCATTCAAAAGGAATTTGTTTGATATAAAAATCCACGAAGAAGAAACATGTTTTGAAAACAGAAACGGCTAAAAGAAAAAAGCACCCAAAAACGCGAAGTTCACCAAAGTTTTAAAATCTTGTAAAGGAAGTCGTAAAAAGATTAGTTGACCTTTTTGTTTATTTTCTCTTTGACATTAATTTTCAATCGCTGTGACATTTAAACAATATTTAATTTCTTTTACAGAGTTTTACAAACCTAATGATTTCATTCTGAAATTCCTAAGAAGCACTGCTCCACATTCCCTCCTTTGGACTCGACACATTTTTAACGCATCGTTCGAAATGTTCAGTGGCGCCCTAACACAAGGACCTGCTGAACCATGAGTTTCTAAAGCCACATACACTGTACATGTTCACAAAGAAGTGGCTTCTAGAGACAATAGAGTGGGGTGCCCAATTGACAGCTTTTTTGGAGTTAACATATCCCGAAGGGTGAAAATGCACTAAACCAAATGTCATCGAGGAAATGATCCCTCTTTACAAGACAATCGAGGAATCATGAACACATTGCAATGCTCTAATCCATGTCATCTCGGCCTAGCGAAGATGAACATGGTATAGTCCTAGGTTTAGTTCTGCCATGAGAATGCAGTCTGTTGATGTGTAGGAAAGTCCTAGCTGCAGATCGCCTACGCACAGACATCTCATGGGATTCGGTTACTGAAATCTGCACTCTGGTGACGTTTAAAGGGCTGCGCATGGTGCGTGTTCGACCTGAAGTGGTCATTTTTTAAAGAACTTTTTAGTTCTGATTCGCTATAGATTCAAACTGACGAAACTTCTCTACTCATGACGCCAAAGGTCTTGAGGGCATCTTAGCATTCACTCCGTGCCGTGTGCAGAACTTAAAAAATGTCAGGGATGGTGAGTTTGTGGAGAGGTAATGTTCAATACAAAAAGCTCTCTGTTCTTTACTAAACGTAGCCATGATCTCAGCAGGCAAACAAAATTTGGGAAAAATAATATCTGCAGACTTCTGTTGACTTGTTAGACTGCTGTAGCTTGCAATATGGCGCGATTGTTGCAACTTTTAGTGGTAGGCCTAATGCGAACTGGTGCGTCATGCTATGAAAATGGCGACAAGGTTGAAAATGGGTTGGTTTTTTTATGCGCTATATAGAGCAAAACCATGTAGATATGACCTGATAGCTAAAACGATAAGCTTTCAAGGGATGCCTCTCTCTTTATTTAAAACTTAGTATGAGATAAGTTACACAGCACTGGGCGGTGGATTATTGGTCAGTATGAGATACACTTACGCAACAGTGAAGGGTTTTAAAGTCATTCTAATTTTTTTAAATATAAAACTTTGTTTGAATTTTAAAAGTCCACTCCTCCAGAGAATTGTTTATGAATAATTGCTGGTCCTCCACACTCCTAGAGTTGGAGTGCTGGATGAATGAAAGATTTCAGTTGCCTCTATGATTGCCTTTATTCTTTGTAAAAACTTAATACAAATTAAATGTGTCATGACGCAATGGAATCAGGCGCTTGTAAATTTTTGGGCATGCATAGGTATTGGTATCATCTGAAAGCTGATTCATTTGCCTTTATTTCTATGAAAAATATATACAACATTCTTGAATAGATGTCGAGATATTTGCAATTGAAGGAGGTAGGGTATCCTGGTCTCAGAGGTAAAAATTTGCGAGAAAATGGCTGCCAAAGTTTGGTAACTTCTATAGCTTGAGATTCCTTAAAAATTGAAAAAGTACATAATTTGTACCATTAATATGTAAAATTCACATGGAAATGTTTTTTTAATATGGACATAATAAAAGGTGCTGAGCCAAAGACAAAGATTCGACAAAAATTGCCATACAGTAGGAAAAATGTGATTCTTCGATTTCGTTATTTTGACGAGCACTGCCTGATTTCACTAGGATTTCGCAGTACGGTGGAATCGGGCCTCATCAATTTTTGGGCATAAGGAGTAAAAAATACCTTTCTAACTTGAATAGAAATAGAGATATTTGCAATTGAAGGAAATGGGATTGTCTGGTTTTAGTGGTAAAATTATCGAGAGGACTTGGAAACTGACAATGTTGTGCCTTTAATCAATGCTTTTCTGGAATTTCCTCATGAAAATGTCTTTTCAAATGGAAAGGGGTTGGGGCAAAAAACAGAAATTCTGAAAAATTTACCTAACAGACGGAAAAGTGCCAGTTTCTTTTGTTTAATTAAATTGTGACAGTGCCTGATTTCACCATGATGTCTCACAAATGTGTTTTGTCTTGTATTTTATTATGCACCCTTGTAGGGATGTTTTTCAAGCACAGGTAGCTGTTCATTACTTCTATCTTTGTTCCCCCCTTTGCGTCATGATTTCTTTTTGGGTGGGTTGAGGTTGCCACTGGTAGGTCTTACTGTTCATTCCCAGTGTTGATTCTGCCCATTTATATTTTCTTCCCTAAAGTAAACCACTGTTATCGGGCTAATGTGCTTTTCTTTATTCAAACAACAGTTCTGTTAGTTGGCACTTCTTATTCTAAGCAGAAATCTACTTATTTGTCAATACAAGCAAAAGTCCCCCCCGATCTCTTTGACCATCATCAACACCATCAGAAACACATTACCGTTGCACATCTCTTTGGCTCAAGAAATTTTCTTATGTTGCTTCTGTACAGCTGTGCATTCGTAGCATGTCGACCATCGAGTGCATTAAACCCATGCAGGTGGCCATGAAGGAACGCAGGGACATGATTGGCCTGGCAGCCGAGGCACTATCGAAAATGTTTGACAAGTGCGATGAGGATCTCATACAACAAGTAAGTGTGGCATGGTAGATTAATAGGAGTCTATGCTCTTTTTAGCCAAGCATCCTCAGTAACTATATACGCACTTTAGCTCCTTTTTCACAGGACAAAGTAGTTGAAATTGTTTTTCACTTCTCCTTCAACAAAAAAATGTTCAGTAAGTGATAATGTATTATATGAATTTTTTTTTTATGTTACATTTTAGATTTTCATTTTTTCAAAAAATAAACTTTTATGAAAAATTTCAAAATAATATTGATGAAATGAATCAACCATCTATAGACATAAATGGGACATTTTGGAGCTTAATCCTGTCAAATTAAAGAATAACAACAACTTTTGTGTTAGCTTCATGGGAAAATGTTCTCTCCTGTTACTAACTAAAATCACAGAGCTGTGTTACTGGAATAGGTTTTGGGGGAGCTTATGGAATATCATGTTGGTGAAACTGGGTCTATTCATCGGGCAAATAATAAAAAAACACTTCAGGTGTACAATCCATGAAAAGTTATTTCGGATTAAAGTGCCAAATTTCAAAATCAGTGCAAATTTTAGAATCTCGGTTTGTGATTCTCACTCTAAAATCAAACGCATTATGATCATATGAATTTCTATCCCTTTTAGCAGTAAGGTGAAGGTAATCCTACGCTCACTTTTTAAAAACAAAGTTCTATAAATTTTTTTTCATGGACGCAAAGAGGGGCGGTAACAGGAGGGAAAATGGGTAACAGGAAAGAAAGTGGATAACAGGCGAGGGAACATAAAAGACTGTTATCAGTTATCAGGTTTTAACAGCAAATCTCATTTACAATGAAACACATGTGTACATACGTTATTAGTGATATCATCTAAAGGAATAACTGAAAAATGGATAGGAATGTTTAAGGCGAGGTGTAGTTACCATTGTGAAAAAAAAACTGTAAGCATCAAATGATAAGTGGGCGTCGAAACGAAATATCGAGAGACAACATTAAATAGGATGGTTTGGACAAGTAATGAGAATGGGGCCACAACAACCTGCCTCGAAGGTCTACAAAATGCAATTCAATGACTTCAGGGCAAAAGGAAGGCTAATAAAAAAAGATGGATCGATAGAGTCAAAGACATCCTTCAAAGGTACAATATGCCGATCCAAAAAGCAACACACCTGACCCATGTCCGAGAACTGCATCTCTCCTCGACACCTCACAGTATAAGAGATCAGATATATATATATATATAGTAACAGTAAAGTTGAGTTGCCAGTGTGTAGTGTACACAGTTGATTTTGCAAAGCCCCAATGTGGGTGCTTACTGACTGTGATTCTGGAAAAGTTGTTTTGCTGAGCCTTTTAGATCTATCTGAAGCTTTTGATACTATTGACCTTCATATTTTATTGAAGCGATTGGAAGTGTCTATTGGAATATCCGGGACTGTCCTTAGCTGATTTTGTTGTTACCTGTCAAATCTATACTAATCTGCTGTTGTTAAAGGGCTCACGGACTCGCAACCGTAAGGTCGCTGGTTCGAATTCCGTCAGGGGCCCGACGTTGTGTCCTTGGGAAAGGCACTTTACACGAATTTTCCTCACTTCACCCAGGTGGGAATGGGTACCCGGCTATAGACAGCGAAAGATCTTGTCAGTTTGTTAATGTTTGAGCGTTTAATCAGCTGCTTGCGCTGTATGCTTCCCGCGAAGCTGAGAATGTTTCGGAGTGTTCTATGGTCTGCTGGGGTAATAATATAATGTAAAGCGCATAGAGCCTGCTGTTGAGCGGGGATATGCGCTATACAAATGCTATTTATTATTATTATTATTTTAAGTCATCAGATCGTGCTCTTATTTATGGGGTCCTTCAGGGCTCAGTCCTCGGTCCAGTTTTGTTCACTGTTTATGTTCTACCACTTGTCAAGAAAATAGTCAAGTATGACTTGAAGTATCATTTCTATGCTGATGATAGTGAAATTTATGGTTCAACTATGTTTACCAACTTAGATGAACTTGTCCATCGTGTTAAAAATTGTTTTGCCTCAGTGAAAAACTGGATGAACAAAAACAAATTGATGTGGAATGATGATAAAACCGAAGTCAATCTGGCAAGCAGTGCAAAGTCTGTTAATGAGGTTGACCACGATCACATGACAAGTGATGATGCAGAAATTGCATTTTCAAAAAAAATTGAGAATCTTGGCATCTATTTTGATTCCAGTTTGTCAATGTCGGCTGAGGTAAATCATCTGATCAGCTGTATGTATTTAGAAATAAGAAAAATTAATAAAGTACGTCATCTAATCAATACTAAATATTCTGCTTTACTAGTAACTAGCTTAGTTTTATCAAGACTCCATTGTTGTAACTCCTTGTTATCAGGAATGTCACTGGAGAAAGTTAAAAAATTTCAGACAGTCCAAAACAATGCTGCACGTTTAGTTTTACGGAAAAGAAAGTGAGACTCTACTACACCTCTTTTACAGACATTGCCTTGGCTTCCTGTTGAGAAAAGTGCTTGCATGATAATGCTCGATCATATTTATCAAATCTGTTGAGACTGTACATTCCAACTGGCAGTTTAACGTCATCAGCTGACGAAAAGAAATTTCTTTTACCGTCAATGAAACATAAAACAATGAGTGAAAGGGCATTTGAATATGAAGGCCCCAAGATCTGGAATGCTTTGCCAAGTACTTTAAGAGGGATGAAATCCTTTGATTAATTCAAATGTCAGCTGAAGTCGTTTCTGTTTTTAAATTAATAAGATAAACATATGGAGGGATTTTCTTTTAGTCAGAAAACGAGGTTTTATGTTACTATTGTGCATTATATTGTATTGTAAAGCGCTCAGAGCCTGTGTACTTTAATCGGGGTTGAGCGTTATTTAAATGTCATTTATTATTATAATGATTATTGCTTCCTCTTTCAATTTACTTAAACAATTTTGAGAGATGTCAGCACATACCCTTGCTTCATTGACTTGAAGGTTGCTCCATGTCTTTCCAAAGTGTTTAAACTGATTGTCTATATTTGAATCGTGTAACTTGTATTGTCGAAACGTTTTCTTGAATAATGTCCACAATGCCATCAACCTCCCAGTTTCTGTTCTTTTCTTAGTGATACTAATTTTGTTATGTTCGCCGTTCAGGATTTCTATTTTCTTTCAATACTACCCATTTCTGCCACGTTGCAGTGAGTCTCATGTCCTCAGAGTATGTTAGGATTGGATCCTTTTACTTTATTTCATCCTTCCTCTTGCATCGTTAGATGTCGAGGGGAGGTGCAATTTTCAATCAAGGGCAGTGAAGGTGGCTTCTGTTGGTGATGTGTTATTATTTTGGAGGACCTCTATAATGCTATCCAGCCAAGTTTTGCGTGGTCTGCACCTGCCCTTGTATCCAGACTTATTAGAGTTTTAAGCTTGTGAAGCTGGTTGCTTTGGTGACCCTCTCATCAGATGACCGAACCACTTCATTCTTTGATGTTCTTGTCTGTTTTCGTTTAACTCCTGATCAGTCTTTCGTCCTCCTGTTTTATATCGTAAGTCAGTGTTGAAATATGCTGAGAATAGGTTGGGTTTTTTTAACTTCCATTGGGTTGGTGTTTATGGGTGAGTAATGGTGACAATTTATAAGTTTCCGCATTTCCTTTTTGGGTCCTGATTACAATTTTCCTATGTCCAATCTTCCGTCATGTGTAAGCATCATCATCATCATCCGGTGCTTTGCCGACTTGCGTAGGTGATCATGAAATTCCACTTCACTCTATCTTGTGTTGCAGCGATGGTGTCTGTCGTTTTTGCTATTCCCAGCCATGTTGTCGACTTGTCCAGTGTATGATCACTCTGTCTGCCTCTGCCTCTCTTTCCATCAAACTTGACAGTTGTTACAATATTCTCCAATGCTTCTTTCTGCATTGTGTATCCAATTAATTTTGCCTGTCACTTACATGTCTGCAATTTGCTTAGATCAAGACTTCTTCATTTGTTTTTCTAGCTGTCCATGGGATACACAGCATACGTCTTATGAACCACAACTCTATCGCCTCATTTGTTCTTTCCGGCTGTCTATTGATTGTCCATGCTTTGCACTCGTATAATATGGTTCGCTCGATGTAACTTTTCAGTACTCTTTTTCTTGTTTCCTGTGACAGATTGATGTTTGTCAGTGTCTGTTTCATTTTGTGGAAGGTTGCTTTTGCTTGGCAAATGTGGCTGTTAATTTCTGTGTGACATATCCCATCTGATGATATATTGGTCCCCAAATGTGTAAAATGTATGTGTAAGCATGCTTTCCAGCTATTTAAATTTCTCAACTTGCTTAAGTTGTGTCCCGTCAATGGTGATGTTTTAATGGAACTGGGTTTCAATGATCACATGATACGTGCATGCATGTTATGGCCAAAATTGAGCAGAAATAACCTTCAGATGAACACAATGCATAAACAACGGGTCAGCTATCAGCTCTGTGTTGTCACAAATCTTGTTCAATCTGATTCTGTAGCTTTCTTAAAAACCCTAAATTATATGGCTTCCGCCATCAAAAGCTTGTAAAATGAATGTTTGAAACTCCTCTCAGATAGGTACTGTCTGTACAGATATTCTACAGTGTTATTCAAGAAAGGTTTCTGGGTTGTTTTTTTTATCTGTTTCAAGATAACATTTTTAACCAGTTCAAAATTCTCCAGTTGTCAGGCCGAAGGAAAAAAATCCTAAATGTGCTCTTTATCCATCTGCAAAGTTGAAAGCACTTTTTTCTTGAGTTTCCTTTTTTTTTATGTTGAGAGTTCAACAAAATTGAAATTTGCTCTAGATTTTATACTTTCTTAATATTTCTCCAGAAGCTAGCATATGAATACTTTTGTTTTTCTTTTTCTTGTAACGGTCTTTCAATTCATCCATGAGAGCAAAAGGAAATTTAAGTGTTCGTTTTACTGCCCTCTTGCTCTCAGATAAAATTTTCATTTTCAACTCCAATTTTCTTTTTCTCTGCGCTGAGGATGGGGCATCCGTTGTTTTGCCATCAGCACTTTGATGTCTTC